TAAGTTCCAGCTGCAACCAGTATGACAAATCTTTGTCTTTTTCCGAGGCCGATGGGTGTGAAAGATAGTTCTTGTTTTCTTAAACTATCTCTCAGTTTCAGCAAACTCTGCATATTTGATCACTGTTTGGCTTTGCCTATTATTATTATTATTATTAATTATATGCTTTTATACTATTTGCCCGTTTTTTCCTACAGTTTTTGGCATTCCATAAGATTTCTACAGATCATTGTTTCTCAATGGACTTTCGGTGGTTGTACATAGTACCTCTGTTGTTTCATACGATGTCTGTCAATTTTATATACTTGGCCATTTATGCCATGTTTTGTTTAACAGTCCAACCTTTTTCCCAACTAAGTTGAAATACAACCTTACCGTATGGTAAATGTCCATATACACTGAGACCTAATTTTGTGTGGTCAGTTCTATCCGTTGGTCATATTGGGTCCTCTCCCACTACATTTTAAACATGGGAAGTTTATCTGCACCCTTATTAGTAGTAATATCCTTTTATATGTATTGTGTTCTTATTTCACATCTGTGTTTCCTTATTGCCAACTTTTTGCCTTTTGTGGTTAGATCTGATTTTTTTAAATTGAAGTATAGTTGACTGACTTACTATATTGTGTTAGTTTCAGGTGTATAGCAAAATGACTCGGTTATACATATATATTCTTTTCCAGATTCTTTTCCATTATAGATCTTTTATTTTAAATAGCAATCATCTTGTCCCCTCTTGTGGGAGACATTCTTTTGCGTTTAACTAACTATGGTCTCTTTTTCATTGGAATCCACTTATGTTTATATAGGTAGAAGGTATAACTTGAGATACTGCTTCTTTGGTTTTTCAAAAAGTAAATTTTTATTTTTTCATTTTTAGCTCTTTGCCATTTTACTCTTTAATTAGTTACCTGTGTTGATGTGATTAAAATTTTATTTTACATGTTTTATTTCCTTAAACAGTCTTAGTTTTTATTAAATGTCATTTAGTACAATCATTTGACTCCACTGGGCTTATTTTTATTTCCCTTATCATTTTTTAATGAATTCTTATTTCTCTACATTTTTTCCCGTATAAATGCCCATATTTTGAAATAACAAAAATGAGGAAAATGTGGGGTCTCTCTTTTGGGGATCTTAAATCATAATGGAAAAGGGCAAGTACAATAAAATAAATGTGTATATTTCCCTGTGCTATACAGTGTAATCTTGTTTATCTTGACACAACATTGTAAAATGATAATAAATCAATAAAAAATGTTAAAAAAATAAATAAAATAAATGCACGAAGGTGACATACTGTCTTCAGAGACAAATTATGTAATACTATGAAGTTTCATAGCCTGTGTAGGTTTTATGGCGTATGGTCTGGGGAGGCCATTGCATGTTGGACAAGGAACAGAACCAGGTCTAAAGTGTACCCATCGGATGTGTCAAAAAAGAAATCAAAAGCCAAAGCTTCAGAATAACACAGAAAAGAGTTCCCCAAAGGAAAATGAGAAAAGGGCCGGCACAGCCGCCATCGCACCGCAGTATAACACCTGTGGTCAAGCAAACATGGATGGCTACGGGAACAGCCATTAGACCAGGGCACAAGGTGGATTCTGTGATGAGGCAAGGGGCGCAATAAAGGCTCAGTCCGTGCGTGGTCCCATGAGTCTGAGGTTCTCCCTGCAGCCTGGCCCTTCTGTCGGGCCCCTCATTCGTGTTCTTTTCCCTCATTAGCAGGACCTCCCTTTTTAAATTGTTCTTGCCTTTACTGCAGTGGATTCTAAATGTTTTTTGACTATGTATCAAATCCATGCCTTATTTTGTCGTCCAGCAGGCTTGCACACAGAAATACAAACATACGCGCATATGTGCACAACTGAACCCAGAGAACCAGGAAACGATTTTGTACGTTACCCTTACTACGTATGATGTGCCCTGAGTTTTCCTGTTGTGCCCGATTGATTCTACTCTATTGAATTCTTACAAACCATATTCTGAAAGTCTAATGGGTCCCAATCTCAGAATATGGAAAACATTCCTCTGGCATACCCAATGTTAGGACTGTTGGCTCTTCGTACCTAAGGGTCTGCATCTGTGGGTTCACCCAGCTGCAGATCAAAAATATTCCAAAATTCCAGCAAGTTCCAAGAAGCAAAATTTGAATTTGTCATGCAACAGCAGCTATTTATATAGCATTTATATTGCATTAGGAACTATAAGCCATGTGGAGATGACTTGAAGTGTATAGGAGGATGTATGTGGGTTAAATGCAAATACTACACCATTTTATATAAGGGACTTAAGCATCCACAGATTTTGGTATCCACAGGGAGGCCTGGAGCCAACCCCCCATGGATACAGAGGGACAACTGTATTTCCATGCTTCTGTACTTTTCTTTCTTCATTGGCAATTTCTTCTGAAAACATGTTCTCTCATTCCCTCATGCAATATGCATTTATTTAGCTATGTTTCCAAGTAAACTAAATCTGGGTGGAGGAGTGTGATGAGTATGTGTAAATTGCTACATGCTTCCAGGCATGCACAATCTGACAATGAAAAAAAAAGATGGACTTAAATAAAAAGTGCACAGTGATAGCCCTTATGTCTAAATTAAGTGCATGAAGAAGTGCCCTTTTTCTGTGGAAATGTTAAGAAAAACAAGAAAGTGTCGTGAAAGAGATGAGTCCTGGCAGTCAGAAAGAGGAGCTACAGATCTGAATATGAAAAAGGGGTAAAATTTTCCAAATAGACCTGTGGGTGAGACTCCAAGCAGAGGGAAGCGGGTGTGTAAAGGCCCTGAACACTGAAGCTGGCAGTCAAGTTCAATGTTTGGAGAACCATGTGTGTGAGGGCAGGGCCGTGTGAGGGGGCAGCTAGCAGGTGGGTCACAGAGAGTCAAGCCTCATGCTTGACCCTAAGGGATTTTGCCTTCGTTCTCTATTAGGAAGTCACGGAGAGGAGGGAATTTTAATTCAGGAAGTTCGTTCAATGATCAGATTTGTAATATAGAAAATTTCTCTGGATCAGTGTGAGTGTAAGTCTAGAGGAGTGCCAGTCAGTGATAGATGGAAGGGACAACCAGGAACAGAAATAAGGCTGTGGAATTGGGGACCAAGAGGTGAAGAAATAGACACTGGAGAGGTAGGAAAAAAATCAGACTCATCTTTTCACCAGCGATGACCATTTACTAACAGGAAGGAACTATACTAAGCTGATTGGGACAGAAATTTCGTATCAGAAGTAGCACAGGGGATCCACTAGAGAAAATCAGATCCATACAACAAATATTAAAATTAATTTATTGACTGCAAAGTATGTGTTGTAACATTTTGAATATGTGAGTAAAGCAAGTTTGTCTGAATATTAATCATTTTATTTCCTTCTCCCCTGACAGTCACCTCCACCACATGGAACCAGGCAATGATACATGGATTTCAGAATTTCTGCTTCTAGGATTTTCACAGGACCCAGAACAACAGCCCCTCATATTTGGGCTTTTTCTTTCCATGTACCTGGTCACCGTGTTTGGAAATCTGCTCATCATCTTGGCCGTCATCTCGGACTCCCACCTCCACACCCCCATGTACTTCTTCCTTTCCAACCTGTCCATGGTAGACATCTGTTTCACCTCCACCACCATCCCAAAGATGCTGGTGAATATACAGACTCAGAGCAAAGCCATAACCTATGCAGGCTGCATCACCCAGATGTGCTTTTTCATAATATTTTCAGGGTTAGACATCTATCTCCTGGCAGTGATGGCCTATGACCGGTTTGTGGCCATCTGCCACCCCCTGCACTACACGGTCATCATGAACCCCCGGCTCTGTGGACTCTTGCTTTTGGTGTCCTGGCTCACAAGTGTCTTGCATTCCTTGTTACAAAGTTTAATGGTGCTGCGACTGTCCTTCTGCACAGACGTGGAAATCCCTCACTTTTTCTGTGAACTCAATCAGATGGTCCAACTTGCCTGCTCTGACACCTTTCTTAATAACGTAGTGATATATTTTATGGCTATGCTTCTGGCTGGTGTTCCCCTCTCTGGGATCCTTTACTCTTACTCTAAGATAGTTTCCTCCATATGTGCAATCTCATCAGCTCAGGGGAAGTACAAAGCATTTTCCACCTGTGCATCTCACCTCTCAGTTGTCTCCTTATTTTTTTGTACAGTCCTTGGAGTGTACCTTAGCTCTGCTGGAACCCATAGCTCACACTCAAGTGCAACAGCCTCAGTGATGTACACCGTGGTCACCCCCATGCTTAACCCCTTCATCTACAGTCTGAGGAATAAAGACATTAAAAGTGCTCTGAAGAGATTCTTTGGGATGGCAGCTATAAAAGGGACTGTTCTCCAGGCACTGAGGAAGTGTCAGATATTACAGGGCTCAAAGCCCCAAGGTCAGGCGTTGTGATTCTTTAACCAGATTGTGGAAGTAGAACTTACTCCTCTTATTTATTTCCTGGAACTTTCCTTTAAATTCTCTATACAGTGTAGTTACTTACTTTATTAAGCTTTCTTCTCTCTCAGATATCCAACAGAATTTCTGTTCATTTCCTTTCTTCTTGTTTTTTTCCCCCTAATTTATTGCTAGCATTTAATATGAAAAAATTGGAAATTCCCATTTATCATGTAACTGTTTGGATTGCTTAAGAATAATTTCTTCTCAAATGACAAAATCACCCCATGAAATATGTCCTTACTTTTACTGAAAGAATAGTAATGTTACTGTTCCAACTGAAAAATCTAAACTTGGCAGTTGGGCCATTTTTATAATTTTATAGGAGAGGAAAATCTGAGACCACAGTTTTCCACTTTTGGGGTCTGTCATTCCTTTCTATATCACTTCCTTCACTGGTCCTCCTGGTAACACAGAATGTAACACACTAGTGTGCTTCAAAACGGGCCATTGGGTTGTATTCTCCTAATTAGGATTCTGTTCTCTTATCAGGCTCTGTGTCCACACTGCCTTCCACAGTCACTGGTAAAACTGATTATCAAATGCACGTCTGCCAGTGTCGTCTACACAGAAACACAAATTGGATTAATAGATTGAATAAATATGGCCTTAGAGTCAAAGATGACCTTGAATATGATGGAGTAAATTTTAAATTATACTTTTATTATTCTGCATGACATTTCTTTTAAAGCTTTACATATTCTCATCAAAATATGGAATATAGCTATCAATGCATAAGGGCAAATACTTATTGAGGCAAAAGATTGATTAGCCTGTTTTATGTTTTCTCATTGAATTATTTTACTGTTCCTGGTTGAAAACTTTCAGTGATGCTTACAAATAAAACTTTTTCCATTGTTCTAAATAAAATATCTCATCCATTCTAACTGTTGTCATGAACAAAATGAGCAGTTGAATAAACAATATCATTCATTGTGTATCTCCTATACAAAGGAATTTCTTCAAATTTTATAAAACTGACTCATGAAAGAGCTTGAATTCCTGCCTAATTGTATGATTCAGGATCAACAGGATTTGTACACAAACATGCATGTTCCTGTAAGCTCTCCTGGGAAGACTTTTTAACATAGTTATGTGAAAAAAACTCGAGTAACAGGGTAATCAGAAATGCTGTTTTCCAACTCATAGACATAGAATACAGACTTGTGGTTGCCAGGGGGAGAGGGGTGGGAACGGACAGACTGGGAGTTCAAAATTTGTAGATACTGACAGGCATACATAGAATAGATAAACAAGATTATACTGTATAGCACAGGGAAATACATACAAGATCTTGTGGTAGCTCACGGTGAAAAAGTATGCAACAATGAATATATGTATATTCATGTATAACTGAAAAATTGTGCTCTAAACTGTAAATTGACACAACACTGTAAACTGACTATAACTCAATAAAATAAATTTTTTTTTCAAAAATGCTGTTTTCCACTGTCAGAACACAGTCAAACATAAGAAGCAACAGATTATAATCTTTGGCCTTGATTCTATTCACTTGGTTATTACATTTGATAGCTGGCTGCATAACCAGCCATTCTAAGATAAAATTTATAAAGAACAAGGTGATACAGAAAAAAAATACAATAAAATATTTTAACATAACATATTTATTATCAAATGGGATGGTATAGTGTGGAGCTGTTTGGGAGAATCACTTTACCCTCTAAGCCCCACTTTTGCAAATGTAGAATGGGGTTCATAATGGTGCTGACTACATAGAATGGAATCCTGTAGAAATTAAATAAGACAATCCACACAAGAGTCTAAGCTCAGTCCATGGTGCATAAAAAGACCTTAATACATCTTGTGATCAAATTTTAACTGAAGGAATAAGTGACAGCTCTTAATTTGAGTTAAAAGCATGAAATCTTATCTGCTTTGTCAAAACCATCCTGAAGCCAATGCCTGTAGTACCCAGTGTTTTATAGCAAAGAAACACACCTCTCTCCCTTGATAAAGAAGAGAATACTCACCTTTTAGAGATATTGGGAGGTATTCTCTGTAACAAGTCAACACTTTGGAGGTCCAAGGGACGGACCTAGTCAGTACAAGGTATCAGTCTTAGATGTGGAGAAAACATTATTAACTCAAGTTTGGGATAAGGTGAAAGAAGGTTAGTGAGTTCACGGAGAAGGACGAATAAAGACAGGACGTGACCTGACTTCTAATGTGGTTTCTTGGGAACAGAGAATCAACAGCAATAATTTCTTCTGTGTACAGACCAGTGTCCTACAGGGAAATCACAGGCTCGGTGGTGAACGTAACAATGGAAGAAGTGCCTAACAAGCAGACCTAAGGAGCTATAACTGTCTCCTCTGCTACGGTCCCACAGTGTGTGCGTTTCTGGTGCTGGACAAGACTTTGTTGTTGCTTTTGGAGTCCTTAGTCTGGCTGGGGAACCAATGTTTCACTCCCTCCTGCTGGCCCGTGTGGGAACAGAGCTTCAGTCTCCATTGTCGACCATCCAGGGAAGAATTCAGACTTCCACACAGAAGGTTTCATCTCAGAGACCCCATCCAGGTGAGATGCCCTCTGAGAGCTCAGTAAGTACTTGAGGAAAGGATCAGAGAGAAAGGAACCTGAGAATTTTTACCTAAGGCCACCTAAGAGCCAAACCAGCCTGGCCCAGAGCTGAGAGACTGCCATGTTTGTTTGCCAGTTAGACTAGTTGATCTATAATTAATTTAATTAACATGTTAAAAAGAGAAGTGTCTTTTGAACTCAGAAATACAAAGGTCATTGTTTCAACTAAGTGAGGGGAAAGGAAGTCCAGTGTGATGAGAATGAAGAAGGAATGAGAGGCATAAATGGCTTCTAGTAAAATTAAAACGTAGCTGAGGAGTTTTATAGCTAATGGGAGTTATAAACTAGCATACTAGGTTTGGAGGCATGAGCAGTAAAGTGAGGGCATTTTTTATATGTTTAAGATGGAATGTATTTGAGCATCTTTTTGTCTTTATTAGAAAGACCAAGGGAGGTAGCTATTACTCTGCAACAGCAATTCCTGAAAATATAGTTCACAATTGTCTCACATGTTGGGAATTTGCATGGAAAAAAAAAGTGCTTAATATGCCCAAAGGGGTATGCTAACAACCTTTGCAGTTGTTTCATTCTCTAGAGGTGAGGAAGCGATGGAGACATCTGAAATGTAGAAGAAAACAATCAGCCTCATCTCATCACCAGTGAAAACTATTCACTCCACAGGAAGGAAATACGCTTTACTTTTTACATATATTGATTAAATCTGTTAAACACTTCCCCACAGTGGGTACCACTGTCCTTATTATTTGAATGAAGATATTAATATTTAGAATGGTTCAATTGGCTCCCCGTGGACAAACAGTTAATATGTGGTAGATCCAAGATTCAAAACAATTTTCTGATGACAAAAGATTTGCATTTATTATCATTAAAAAAATCTTTCACCATTTTAATTTTTTGTATATATACGTATTTTTTTTTACTGAAGTATAGTCAGTTTACAATGTTGTGTCAATTTCTGGTGTACAGCATAATGTTTCAGTCATACATGAACATACATAGATTCGTTTTCATATTATTTTTTAAACTGTTCAATTATTGTATCTTACATAATTTCTGTTGCAAATTAAGAGTCTATTTCCTATGATTAATAATGGGATGTTCAACCAGTAAAGAGTCATAACAAAGTAAAATATAATTTCTTTCTCTTCAGAATAAATTGGGTTTTTTTTTCCTGCTTTATTAGGTATTCTTGGCATCAAGAGGTTATAACTGAGGGATGCCAGAATCAAAATCTTTTATTCTCAACACAGTCTCTTAGGGACCGCCTGAGCATTTTAGATCTTTTTTCCCACTCATGTGTATATCTATGCTGTCTCTGTGTTTTTGAACTGCTTTTTATGCTTCCTTAAATCCAGGACACAAATTGGTCATATGAATATGGAGCCCCATGTTTACACGTCCATGGAAGGCTTAGCAATAGGAATTTGGGTACTATTTCTACATTCTTTTATTTGTTGAGGTAACATCAGTTTAATTTTAATTTTAATTTTTTTAATTTTTAAAAAATTTTTTTACATTTTTTATTGATTTATTATCATTTTACAATGTTGTGTCAAATTCCAGTGTTCAGCACAATTTTTCATTCATGGACATATACACACTCATTGTCACATCAGTTTATAACAAGAGTTTCATGAGTACAACATTGTATTTTGACTTTGCTAAAGTGTGCTCAACACTGAAAGGTTAGTTTCCACCCTGTTACAGTTGACCTCTTTAGCCATTTTGCCCTCCTCCTCTTCCCTGTGATAACCTCTACTCTGTTCTGTATCTTAGTGTTTGTTTTTATTTAATTTGATTTGTACATTTATTTCACGTGTTGTGGGTTTTTTTTTTAATATTCCACATACAAGTGGAATCATATGGTGTTTGTCTTTCTCCATATGGCTTGTTTCACTTAGTTTAATACTCTCGAGGTCTATCCAGGACAAGTTAAGAGAATACCTAATTACCTTAAGAACAACAAAAAAGACCTTCCTCAAGGCACATATATTAAAACTGTCAGAAGTCAATGAGAAAAAAACATTTAAAAGCAGCCAGGATGGTAACTCACAAAGGAACCCTTAATAGGCTTATTTTATATGTTTTGATGCTACTGTGTCAGGTGCGTATGTACTAATAACTATTATGTTTTCTTGATGAATTGTCTCCTTTACCATTATATAATGTCTCTCCTTGTCTCTTGTTAGTTTTTGGCTTAAAATCTATTTGTCTAATGTAAGTGTGGCTATACCCACGTTCTTCTGGCTGTTTTCTTGGAGTATCATTTTCTATCCCTTCACGTTGAGCCTATTTTTTTGTCTTTAGAGCTGAGTCCCCTGGAGCCAGCATATGGTTAAGTCTTGTTTTTTAATCCATCCAACCACTATGCATCTTTTAACTGATGAATTTAATCCACTTAAGTGACAATTGATAAATTAGGACTTAGCGCTGCCGTTTTATCTTTTGCTTTCTGATTGCTCTCTATCTCCATTGCTTCACGTTCTTTGTGTTTCTGTCGCCATTTTAGTTTGGTGGTTTTCTAAGATGTTTTCCTTAGTTTCCTCTTTCTTTAGGGTGTATGTCTCTGTTGTAGGTTTATGGTTTATCGTTACCATAAGGTTTGTGTACAATGACTCATAGATAAAATAGTTCTTCAGGTGATAGCATCTTATCTATATATACTCATATGGGTTCCACTCTTTTCCTCTTCCCCTTTGTGTTTTTGTTGTGTCAAATTATCCCTTTTTATGTTGTGAATTTGTTACCAAATTTAAGTAACTATAGTTATTTTTACTAATTTTCCCCTTTAACCTCTGTGCTGTAATTAAGTGTTTAACAACCTATTCTGGTATGGAGTTGCAATTTTCTGATTCTCTCTGTCTGTTTATTACCTTACTTAAATTTTGTATACTTTGTCTTTTTGCTTCTGGCAAAAGAGTTCCTTTGCACATTTCTTGTAAGGCAGGTCTAGTATTAAAGAAATTCTTCAACTTTTGTTTGTCTTGAAAAGCCCTCATTTCTCCTTCATATCTGAATGATAACTTTGATGGATAGAGTATTCTTGGTTGATAGTTTTTACCTTTCAGTATTTTGAGTAGGTCACTCCATTCTCTCCTGGCCTGTAGAGCTTCTGATGAAAAATCTGCTGATAGCCTATGAAGGGTTCCTTTGTAGTTTAGCATCCTTTTCTCCCTGGCTGCCTTTAAATTCCTTTTTTTCTCATTGATTTCTGACAGTTTTAATATACATGTCTTGGCGAAGGTCTTTTTGTCTTAAAGTAATTAGGTGTTCTCTTAACTTCAGGCTTGTATGCCCAGTTCCTTCCACAGGTTTGGGAAGTTCTCAGCTACTGTTTCTTTAAATAAACTCTCTGCTCCCTTCTCCTTCTCTTCTTCTCCGGGGATACTCATGACCTTAATGTTGTCCTTCCTAAAAGAGTTGGAAAGCTCTCGGAGAATTTCCTCACATTTTGGTTTTTTATTTCTCTTTCCTATTCTACCTGTATCATTTCTAGATTCCTATCTTTGAGCTCACTAATTCTCTCTCCCATTTCATCTGCTCTATTTCCAGTGCTTTCTGATGTATTCTATTTATTATTATTATTGAAGTACAGTCAATTACAGTGTGTCAATTTCTGGTGTACAGCACAATGTCCGAGCCATATATATACATACGTACATTCTTTTTCGTATTTTTTCATTAAAGGTTATTACAAGATACTGAACATAGTTCCCTGTGCTATACAGAAGAATTTTTTTCAAAACTTATTTTTATAGGTACTGGCTAACATTTGTAAATCTCAAATTCCCAAATTTATTTCTTTATCTCATTCATTGAGGTTTCCAGCCCCAGAATTTCTGTTTGGTTCTTTTTTAGAGATTCAATCTCCTTGGTAAAGTATTTCTTCTGTTCATTAATTTTATTCCTGAGCTCACTGAACTGCTTTTTTGAGGTCTTTGGTAGCTTACTCAATTTCTTCATCACTGCTATTTGGAATTCAGTTAGATTACAATATTTTGTGACCCTAAGTTTGGTTTCTAGAGAATTGTCACTTTCTTTTTGTGGTGTAGTGTCACTGTGATTCTTGATGGTGCTCAATGGGTTGTGTCTATACTGGCACATTGGAGGTAGGAAACACCTTTCTTCTTTAGGTAGAACTTTTCTTCCCCTTGATTTTAATAATTCAACAGGTTATTAATTGGAGAACTTTTTTTGGTTTTGGTAGGGGGCAATGGCACAAGGTTTTGGTTTATCCTACCTGAGCTGCTTCTGGTTATGTTTGAGAATTGGTACATTCCACCTTGCACTGCCTCTGTCAGAGGTATAGCCAGTGCCCTGGCTGTTCATACTTGTGCTCACAGGGACATTGGTAACTTGCTCCTGCTGGTGTCACTGGCTTTGCCACCAGGGGCACCTTGATGGCAAGAACCTTTGTTGCA